TTTGACATATTTGACCCCTGTGACCTTGAAAGTAGGTCAAACCTTTTTTTGTTTTCAAACTTTGTCTGGCTCTATCCAAGGAAGACAACAGCCAAATATAAAGATTCTATACCTTTCAGTTCTTCAGAAGAAGTCGTTTGAAGTGTTTGACACATTTGACCCCTGTGACCTTGAAAGAAGGTCAAGGTCATTTTCGTTCTCAAACTTTGTCGGGCGTTTCCCGCAAGCCACCAGCCAAATATAAAGATTCTATACCTTTCAGTTCTTCAGAAGAAGTCGTTTGAAGTGTTTGACACATTTGACCCCTGTGACCTTGAAAGAAGGTCAAGGTCATTTTCGTTCTCAAACTTTGTCGGGCTCTTTCCCAGGAAGCAATCAATCAAATATAAAGATTCTATACCTTTCAGTTCTTTAGAAGAAGCCGTTTGAAGCATTTGACATATTTGACCCCTGTGACCTTGAAAGTAGGTCAAACTAATTATCATTCTCAAACTTTGTTGGGCTCTATCCCAGGAAGCCACCAGCCAAATATAAAGATTCTGTAACTTTCAGTTCTTCAGAAGAAGTCGTTTGAAGTGTTTGACACAGTTGACCCCTGTGACCTTGAAAGTAGGTCAAGTTCATTTTCGTTCTCAAACTTTGTTGGGCTCAATCCCAGGAAGCCATCAATCAAATATGAAGATTCTATACCTTTTAGTTCTTCAGGAGAAGTTGTGTAAAGGAAAAATTGAAGGACGAGGATGGACGGACGACGGACGACGCATCCCGACATAAGCTCACTTGCCCTTCGGGAAGGTGAGCTAATAATATGATGTGTCACAGCTTGTCTGAAGCAACGTTCTCTGTCCTAACTTATTATAAAAGTGAACAAAGAACAGACTCTAATGGAGAATTGTTCCAGCAGTTTCGGTTTATATCAGGCCAAAGAAATTATTGACTATAGATAGTTATTTCCATCAGTGAGAGCTTGACAGATAAATTTTATGAAGATTGTGGTGAACCAGCTCATGCAAAACCTCATCACTTACCCTGTTTCTCTGCTGCCTTGCTCCATAAATCTGCCTTCTTCCCAAACTTCTTGTTACTCTGACTTTCCTGTATATGTACCTGTCGAGTACAAATATTAAAATAATATAAGACATGTATACATTTACTATCATCTACTGGTGAGTTAAATCAGTCTTCGAATTTGGGATCTACACACCATAGACAATTAGGTCTATATGATTAAGATGTCTTATAGACCTACCGGTACTGAAAGGTTGATAGATCAAACTTGACCAAGATAATTTTACTTGTAAATTTAAGTGTTCAATAACATGAAATAAGGAAAAAACGTGTTATGATAAAGGAAGACAAGTAATCTCACAGACGACTTTTCCCCTCACTATTGTACTAATCATTGAATCATATACATCATAGGATATAACTTCATATCTAATAGAATCTCTCAACCCCTTGGGGTGAGATAGGGGAATCTCAACCCGAGGGGAAAGATTCTTAAGTTGCCAAACACAAGACTTTGCTGAGTGTTTGGCAACTTAAGAATATTTCCTCGAGGGTTGAGATTCCCTTATCTCACCAACAAGGGGTTGAATGATTCTTTTTCTCTTACCCTGTTCACCCATTGGTATCATAAACAAAATGAAGTGACGTCATACCATTGTTATGAATAGGGGAATCCCCCCGTCTCAACCCTAGGGCGAGACAAGGAAATCTCGCACCGGTAAAATGGTGGATATCCCTGTCCAGGGTAAGAGAAAACTTGGTTACCATAGACCTAGTGTTTTTACAGCGTGATTGTCTATGGGTCTGCCATTAAGTTCGAAAACTGAGTTTTACCACTGAAGAGGATAAGGAGACTTCTTATCTGTGTGCTGGGACGGACAGGGAATTAAAAAGGGACAATACTATTGGGTGAAGGAACTGAAAACTTTCTTAAAAAGTATATGTTTTCTTACAATGACTTAATTTTTAACAAGATAAGGTGTAAAATGTCATTAAAACAGTTCTATTCAATGAATTTATTCAATTTGAGCCAAAAACAAGACAAAAAGGTTAGTTTTAAAGTTTAGAATGAGGGTGACAATCAAAAGTTTTGCTCAATAATAGTTAAACTTTCGAAGAATGTAATAAACAATGATTTGCTAAGGGATTTATTTTCAACTCATGACCCTTGTATGTCAAATTTTGCAGTCATTCATAAATATAAGCCAAACATTTGTTTTCATTCATATCTTTCCAAACAAAGAGGCCTACCAGGCCTGTATCACTCATCTGTTATTAGTGATGCCCAATGAATCTTTACAAGTTGTATGAAGATTTGAACACATTTGAACTCTGTGACCTTTAAATGGATAAAGCTAAATTTATTTATCAAAGGAAATGTATGGTATGAGACTCTTTTTTTTTACCCTAAAATCCATAAAAGTTCAAAACCTAGAGTAGAGTCTGGCATCATAACCTCAGTAAAACACAGTTGTGATTCAAATTCTACACCTCTGGAAGAATTTCCGTATTCCCTGCTGGTGAGGTTAAGACAGTAGAGGATACCAATATTACTTACCTTGTAGTATTTGGCTATCGTCTGTTGATGTATGTGCATTGATTCTCCAAGACGAGATTCCCTCGAGAAAACAATCTAAACAAAACATCAAAACAATTATTGTTTACAGCACCGATATCACATAATTTTTCAAGAGAAGTAAAACACACTCTAAATGTTCATATATCTACAAGGGTAACGATACAGGCTACATTTCTACACCAATAAAAACTTAGTTTCTCTAAGGATTTGTTTGTAAAGTCTAAAGGCTTTAACAAAATAACGTCATACAATCTACGGGGCTATACACTAGAGGAATGAGCAACAGGTCTTTCTAGAGATAGCGGCTATCCACTAGAGGAATGAGCAACAGGTCTTGCTAGAGATAGGGGCTATACACGAGAGGAATGAGCAACAGGTCTTTCTCCAGATAGGGGCTATACACTAGAGGAATGATCAACAGGTCTTTCTAGAGATAGGGGCTACACACTAGAGGAATGAGCAACAGGTCTTGCTAGAGATAGGGGCTATACACGAGAGGAATGAGCAACAGGTCTTTCTGGAGATAGGGGCTATACACTAGAGGAATGAACAACAGGTCTTTCTAGAGATAGGGGATATACACTAGAGGAATGAGCAACAGGTCTTCCTAGAGATAGGGGCTATACACTAGAGTAATGAGCAACATGGCTTTGTAGAGATAGGGGATATACACTAGAGGAATGAGCAACAGGGATTTCTAGAGATAGGGGCTGTACACTAGAGGAATGAGCAACAGGTCTTTCTCCAGATAGGGGCTATACACTAGAGGAATGATCAACAGGTCTTTCTAGAGATAGGGGCTACACACTAGAGGAATGAGCAACAGGTCTTTCTGGAGATAGGGGCTATACACTAGAGGAATGAACAACAGGGCTTTCTAGAGATAGGGGCTGTACACTAGAGGAATGAGCAACAGGTCTTGCTAGAGATAGGGGCTATACACGAGAGGAATGAGCAACAGGTCTTTCTCCAGATAGGGGCTATACACTAGAGGAATGAACAACAGGGCTTTCTAGAGATAGGGGCTGTACACTAGAGGAATGAGCAACAGGTCTTCCTAGAGATAGGGGCTATACACTAGAGGAATGAACAACAGGTCTTTCTAGAGATAGGGGATATACACTAGAGGAATGAGCAACAGGGCTTTCTAGAGATAGGGGCTGTACACTAGAGGAATGAGCAACAGGTCTTTCTACAGATAGGGGCTATACACTAGAGGAATGAACAACAGGTCTTTCTAGAGATAGGGGCTATGCACTAGAGGAATGAGCAACAGGTCTTTCTACAGATAGGGGCTATACACTAGAGGAATGAACAACAGGGCTTTCTAGAGATAGGGGCTGTACACTAGAGGAATGAGCAACAGGTCTTGCTAGAGATAGGGGCTATACACGAGAGGAATGAGCAACAGGTCTTTCTCCAGATAGGGGCTATACACTAGAGGAATGAACAACAGGTCTTTCTAGAGATAGGGGCTACACACTAGAGGAATGAGCAACAGGTCTTCCTAGAGATAGGGGCTATACACTAGAGTAATGAGCAACATGGCTTTGTAGAGATAGGGGATATACACTAGAGGAATGAGCAACAGGGATTTCTAGAGATAGGGGCTGTACACTAGAGGAATGAGCAACAGGTCTTGCTAGAGATAGGGGCTATACACGAGAGGAATGAGCAACAGGTCTTTCTACAGATAGGGGCTATACACTAGAGGAATGATCAACAGGTCTTTCTAGAGATAGGGGATATACACTAGAGGAATGAGCAACAGGGATTTCTAGAGATAGGGGCTGTACACTAGAGGAATGAGCAACAGGTCTTTCTAGGGATAGGGGCTATACCCTAGAGGAATGAGCAACAGGTCTTTCTGGAGATAGGGGCTATACACTAGAGGAATGAGCAACATGGCATTCTAGAGATAGGGGCTATACACTAGAAGAATGAGCAACAGGTCTTTCTAGAGATAGTGGCTATACACTAGAGGAATGAGCAACTGGTCTTTCTAGAGATATGGGCTATACACTAGAGGAATGAGCAACAGGGCTTTCTAGAGATAAAGAAGTAAAGAGGTCTAAAAGAAGACAGAGATTCAAAGTATTGTAAAGGGGCAGCAGATCAATTTTGATTTCTCAAATGTACCATAAGCAGAGGACACCAAAGAAAAAGGAACCCCACATTAGTCTCCTCACAGGATCATGCAGTTTGCCATTGAAGGGTAGTTCTCCTGGATTGTTTTCTATTTGAGAGTAATAAGTATTTGACTTACTTAAATTAAAGCTAACAGAATCGAATGTAGAACATCATTTACAATCTGAATTATTGTCTTATGTCTCCTCATAACATTTCAGTTGATAAGATGTAATGCAGCATGTTGATCACACAGATCTAGCTGTTGATGAAAAGTGCAGTACTATACCTTAAAGACATCAGCAATCTTGGATAGCCCCGCAGCTTTTGTGGTGAAGCCAGCGGAAGCTGGAACATACACACCAGTCATCTTTATATTCTCTCATAATGAGGTTTTATTTCAAAACAATCTTTTTCAGTTTGAGTGGGAAAGTATCATTAAAAATACAATTTTATCATAATAGATACTGCAATGTCAATTAATACCAAAAACATACTGGAGCAGAAACACAAAAACATGGCATTACACTGTCACTACCAGACAGAGCTTAATTTATTGTACAGTTTATGGAAAACTATCTGATAAACATGTAATTCTACCATTTAGAAATCTTCATTACTTACTGTCACTTGTAAGATAGTTGATCATCTTATCCAGCAAGTTAGTGAAGAAATTTTTCGTCTCAAAACCAATGTTCACTTTAGATAGAAACTCAAACATGAACCTGAAACAGAACACAGTAGTTCAGTTTAGTTTCTTTTATTTTCCAATATCGGATTTGCATGATCCTATCAATGCTTTTAAATGTCTTAATTAAAAGAATTTGATACCACATCCTCTGAACGACTGTTCCATAATTTTGCCGTGCTTGTAGAGAATTATTTTACTACTTGTACAGAAAATCATTTTGAATGACAGTAAAATCCCTGTATAAGGTACATATATATATTTCATCAAACAAGGAGTTGTACAGACAGAGACAGTAACACGGCCCGGTACAGGGGACGTCAGTGCCTCGTTCAGTACCGATGATACAATATGACACCAACAAAACACACTCTTTGGCCTTAGAGCACGAGCCACCATATGAAGTCAAAGAAAAAGAGTTTTATTATTCCTGGGATCCACAGTCATACAAGCATAAGGAACAATATCAAAGGAAATGTTAATACATTTGTACCAGTAATAATGATTATCTGATTTCTTGATATTGAAATTTGAATCATATTTGTGACTTTAAAATTCTTGAACGTGAAGAAACTCTTTTTTTTTTTAGTTTTTGAAACAGAATCTGTTACAGATGAGATTCCCCCTATTTGATATTAAAAACAGGAAGTTCACACAAGTTTTCAAGTATGGATATATATGTGATATAAGGTTGAGGACCATTCGATCCCTGATATGAAGGGCTAAATCTGAAAGCTTGGATCAACAGTGACTGTCCATATTTATTTCTATTTAAGGTGAAAGTTTTGGTTCTGGAGTGTATAACTTACATGCCAGGGTGGGTGACGCCATTGGAACCTGTGCCGATGTCCATACTGTCCAGGTTGTCCTCCAACTCCTTCAACGTGGCTGTAACATTAACATCTCAGTGACTTAAGGACACCAAACAGTCAACAGTTTACAACTACAAACCTGTCACGTACCATATTACAAACCAGAAGTGTCACCAAATAACTTTGAAAACTAAACAGTCACCAAAACAAACACACCAATAACAGTGACTATATATATATATAACCTACAACCTCCACAGCTCAATGTGTTTCTTCACCTTGTGTGATTGTCAATCACAGATCTTAAACAAATCACAACTAATATGAAAACATGATGTATTACATCTTGCCTTTTATATAACAAGAAAATGCCACAGGTCAAAGGGGGGAGGGGCATGAATGCCCCCTTTCCCTGTGGATGACCTATAAATAGGAAGTGACCTTGGCATTGACCTTGGGACCCTATAATATGAACTCATTCATATTCCCATACTTGACCTTTGCATAAACTTTGATGAAAATCTGTTCAGAAATGAAATGGGTAGAAAAATTACATTGAATTGGGATCCGACTGAACAATGTGACACGACACAAAAGGATGTGACAGGACTAGACAGACATGAGTTACACTATATGTTTCCCTATAAAAAATGGAGGTATAAAAATAACCATTCATACAAATGTTATCATATAGCAATGTAGCTCCAGATATTCCTCCCAAGTTCTTGTTATTAACAAAACTATTTCTCATCAGACATACAGTCCACCCATCCATTAATGACATTCCGCGTTACATGTGTTGAGCATTCCATGTAAATGGATTGTTTTCCCAAGTAAAAATAGATCCTTCTGATAAGTTTTGGTTCGTCTCTATTAAAATATGCTTACATTTCATTCTCAGTAAATCCTCAAGGGTGAATTCTGGTTCTGGAATAAAATAGAAAGAGAATCAGCATTACCAGCTAATTTCATGTATAATTTATGTTTGTATTACTATACTAGCTTCCACATCATTGTACAATATAATCTGTAGTTCACATCTTGATAATACAATGATGTTGCATTACCGCAGTATCTCATCTGACAGTTGTTACACACCATTAGTTGATAAAATTAAACAAACAAAAATTCCCAAAAATTAGTACTAATCTGTGCTATGGAAAAATGAGGTCATTATTCTTCCTTGATAATGTGTCCACCATTATAATAATAATAATAATAATCTTTATTTAAAGTCGTGTACAATTGTCAACAACAAACATAAGCTCTGTAGAGCTTTATATTAAGACGCCGCTAAGGAAACAAATGGTGTTTTCGTGGTGGAGGAAAACCCACGGGGGTAAACCCCTGTGACATCGGAGGGATAACAACTAACCCTATCAGACATCACTCTCTTTTTTCCACCACCGCTGGGGATCGAACCGAAATTCTTGGGAGAGCGAGTGGTCTGAAGCTCACACTTAATTGCACACAGTAGTACAATGACTGTGCGAGTTAGCGATCACGGCTACCGAGGCCGTGATATTCAATTTGAATTTTAGAAAGCAAACTGAACGTTAATCAAGGACAATCATCATACAAGTTCAATATAAATGTTTCCTTATACTTAAACAGAAGATTTAGTGAAAATGATGGGGAAAAAAATAATTAAAACAGCTTGCAGCTGAAATATACTTTAAGTGTTAATGCTATCAACTACACAAATGAAAAGATATATAATAATACCCTACCTGGCATACTAGATTCTGTCATTTCTACAAGACTCTGTGCCTCAGCTTGAGCCATCTCAACAAACTTATCAGCCAATCGACACACTTCTTCTATAGCTGTGGCCAAGTCAGCTGTTGTGAGATCAAAGGAGGAGCTCTCCTCACATATCTTCTCCTGTAATACCAGTGTTATACAGGCTTTAGGGGTTAAAGGAGGAGCTCTCCTAACATATCTTCTCCTGTAATATCAATGGTAAACAGACAATGGGGTCAAAGGAGGAGCTCTCCTCACATATTTTCTCCTATGTAATGTGTAATGGTAGTGAACTGTAAACTATAGGGAGTAAAGAGATACATACCAAATTATGGGCTTCATCAAAGATAACAACGTTTCCCTGCAGCTCCACTCCATGGGCTTTCCTCGACTCCTGTAATATCAGTGTTATACAGGCATTAGGGGTTAAAGGAGGAGCTCTCCTAACATATCTTCTCCTGTAATATCAGTGTTATACAGGCATTAGGGGTTAAAGGAGGAACTCTCCTCTCATATCTTCTCCTGTAATATCAATGGTAAACAGACAATGGGGTCAAAGGAGGAGCTCTCCTCACATATTTTCTCCTATGTAATGTGTAATGGTAGTTAACTGTAAACTATAGGGAGTAAAGAGATACATACCAAATTATGGGCTCCATCAAAGATAACAACGTTTCCCTGCAGCTCCACTCCATGGGCTTTCCTCGACTCCTGTAATATCAGTGTTATACAGGCATTAGGGGTTAAAGGAGGAGCTCTCCTAACATATCTTCTCCTGTAATATCAATGGTAAACAGACAATGGGGTCAAAGGAGGAGCTCTCCTAACATATCTTCTCCTGTAATACCAGTGTTATACAGGCTTTAGGGGTTAAAGGAGGAGCTCTCCTCACATACCTTCTCCTGTAATATCAGTATGGTATACAGACATTACGGGTCAAAGGAGGAGCTCTCCTCCCATATCTTCTACTGTAATATCAATGATAAACAGACATAAGGGGTCAAAGGAGGAGCTCTCCTAACATATCTTCTCCTGTAATATCAGTGGCATACAGACATTAGGGGTCAAAGGAGGCGCTCTCCTCACATATCTTCTCCTGTAATTTCAATGGTAAACAGACATTGGGGTCAAAGGAGGAACTCTCCTCACATATCTTCTGCCGTAATATCAGTGGTATACAGACATAAGGGGTTAAAGGAGGAGCTCTCCTAACATATCTTCTCCTGTAATACCAGTGTTATACAGGCTTTAGGGGTTAAAGGAGGAGCTCTCCTCACATATTTTCTCCTATGTAATGTGTAATGGTAGTGAACTGTAAACTATAGGGAGTAAAGAGATACATACCAAATTATGGGCTTCATCAAAGATAACAACGTTTCCCTGCAGCTCCACTCCATGGGCTTTCCTCGACTCCTGTAATATCAGTGTTATACAGGCATTAGGGGTTAAAGGAGGAGCTCTCCTAACATATCTTCTCCTGTAATACCAGTGTTATACAGGCTTTAGGGGTTAAAGGAGGAGCTCTCCTCACATACCTTCTCCTGTAATATCAGTATGGTATACAGGCATTAGGGGTCAAAGGAGGAGCTCTCCTAACATATCTTCTCCTGTAATATCAATGGTGTACAGACATTGGGGGTCAAAGGAGGAGCTCTCCTAACATATCTTCTCCTGTAATACCAGTGTTATACAGGCTTTAGGGGTTAAAGGAGGAGCTCTCCTCACATACCTTCTCCTGTAATATCAGTATGGTAAACAGACATTGGGGTCAAAGGAGGAACTCTTCTAATATATCTTCTCCTTTAATATCAATGGTATACAGACATTCGGGGTCAAAGGAGGAGCTCTCCTCCCATATCTTCTCCTGTAATATCAGTGTTATACAGGCATTAGGGGTTAAAGGAGGAACTCTCCTCTCATATCTTCTCCTGTAATATCAATGGTGTACAGACATTGGGGGTCAAAGGAGGAGCTCTCCTAACATATCTTCTCCTGTAATATCAATGGTAAACAGACAATGGGGTCAAAGGAGGAGCTCTCCTCACATACCTTCTCCTGTAATATCAGTATGGTAAACAGAAATTAAAACAGCTTGCAGCTGAAATATACTTTAAGTGTTAATGCTATCAACTACACAAATGAAAAGATATATAATAATACCCTACCTGGCATACTCGATTCTGTCATTTCTACAAGACTCTGTGCCTCAGCTTGAGCCATCCCAACAAACTTATCAGCCAATCGACACACTTCTTCTATACCTGTGGCCAAGTCAGCTGTTGTGAGATCAAAGGAGGTGCTCTCCTCTCATATCTTCCCCTGTAATATCAGTGGTATACAGACATTAGGGGTCAGAGGAAGAGCTCTCCTCACATATCTTCTCCTGTAATATCAGTGGGATACAGACATTAGGGGTCAAAGGAGGAGCTCTCCTAACATATCTTCTCCTGTAATATCAGTGTTATACAGGCATTAGGGGTTAAAGGAGGAGCTCTCCTCACATATCTCCTCCTGTAATATCAGTGGCATACAGACATTAGGGGTCAAAGGAGGCGCTCTCCTCACATATCTTCTCCTGTAATACCAGTGTTATACAGGCTTTAGGGGTTAAAGGAGGAGCTCTCCTCACATATCTCCTCCTGTAATATCAGTATGGTAAACAGAAATTAAAACAGCTTGCAGCTGAAATATACTTTAAGTGTTAATGCTATCAACTACACAAATGAAAAGATATATAATAATACCCTACCTGGCATACTCGATTCTGTCATTTCTACAAGACTCTGTGCCTCAGCTTGAGCCATCTCAACAAACTTATCAGCCAATCGACACACTTCTTCTATACCTGTGGCCAAGTCAGCTGTTGTGAGATCAAAGGAGGTGCTCTCCTCTCATATCTTCCCCTGTAATATCAGTGGTATACAGACATTGGGGGTCAAGGGAGTAACTCTCCTCACATATCTTCTACTGTAACCCTACCTGGCATACTAGATTCTGTCATTTCTACAAGACTCTGTGCCTCAGCTTGAGCCATCACAACAAACTAATCAGCCAATCGACACACTTCTTCTATAGCTGTGGCAAAGTCAGCTGTTGTGAGATCAAAGGAGGTGCTCTCCTCTCATATCTTCCCCTGTAATATCAGTGGTATACAGACATTAGGGGTCAAAGGAGGAGCTCTCCTCACATATCTTCTCCTATGTAATGTGTAATGGTAGTGAACTGTAAACTATAGGGAGTAAAGAGATACATACCAAATTATGGGCTTCATCAAAGATAACAACGTTTCCCTGCAGCTCCACTCCATGGGCTTTCCTCGACTAAAATTTGAAAACAAATCGGTCAAAAACATTCAATTTAGAGAAAAAATACATCTTTCTTAAATGACTATACTGTATTTAATGATTATTGCAACCTAACAAAACCATAAAAGATATGAATTGTTTCTTCTAGCTCGTTCTAAATTTTTAAAGGGTGTTGTACACAGAAAATTTCATCAAGATATCTTGTATAGTTTAAAATCTAGTCTGGTCAAGCTTCACTGACAATTTTGCACTAGTGTGACCTGTGACCAAGAGATAAAGATCACAGTGACCTAATTACAGTGTACAGAACACCTCAAACATTTATTTTAATTCTTCATTTCTTTACTGATGATTGCATACAGCCCGGAGGCTACTAGATGCTTTCAGACATTTCATCAAGATATGCTTTTTAAAACGGTTTAAAAGTTACAACCTGAACAAGATGGTTTTAGAAGAACCAAAAGAAGATCCAGGAGAACCACATCCTCGATATCCAGGGGTTACGCTCACCTACGCTCTCTACACTATCTCGCTTTCTGTGTAGAGAGCGTAGGTTAGCGTACGTAGCCCCTAGGCCTGGATATCGAGGATGGAAGAACCAGTACTCATACAATATATCTCATTAGAAAGGGGAAAAAAAACGAATTACAGATGAATACCAAATGATAATTTTTTTTACCTTTGCATCTAGCAAATAATTGTATGGCATAAATATAATTTCAGCATCATTTTTCAGTTCTTTAGCCAGGTAATATGGACAAACTCTGAAACAAAATACATTTTGTCAAAATTTAAGAGAGGGTTATGAGGACATGGCATTAAAATCAATACTCAAACCCACCCCAAATATCGAAATAAATATCAAATTTGTATACACAGCATGTTACTTTTGTTATTTTGAGAAACATGAAAGATTGGATGTACCAATCAAAAGATAAAATAAAAGTGGATGAAAGAATAATGTACAGTTACCGGTGCATCTAGACAAGGCCATCTCCTATTATAATCTTGTTAAAAAATATATATCAGAACACACCTTCAGTATGTAAGTGCAACAAATAATTTTTGCATAGAGAACTCTCTTGATCATTTAAATACTCATTTTTCCAAACGTTGACAGAATTGTATAGGTTTAGAGCTGTTGAAGTTCGTACTTATTTTTCTCTCCGTATCCCACTATATCCTCAATGTCCACCACATTCCCCACCAAGTGACGGGCATCACTGTTCCTCTTCACGTCTATACATAGAAAAATCCAAAATGAAAGAACTTTGCACAAATCTATTATTTGTTAGTGAACATTCATCAACTTGGGATCCTGTTCTGTAATATTGTTTAGTGTATATATATATATATATATATTTTTTATTTTTTTTTACTGAACATTGATTAACTATTCTATATACTGTATATAACTTCCATTTCAGAGGTTAAACTTTTTTTTTCAGTGGTTTAGAGTCGAAACATCGGCCATTTGCACTCTGTGCTTGACAAAGGAAACAGACATTTTTGAAAGCTCCCAATATAAGTTTTCAATTACTGTTTGTATTCAACACAAACTTACCATTATAAATTTTTGTGTTTTTATTCACATAGAATAGATCGTGAATTATAAATATTTCTACTTTGAACTGTAATATTTCTTCCAAGCCAAATTTCTCCCTCTGGCTTTTTATCAGAAGTTTGTCCATATAAAATGTACGCTTACCAGTACTGCTAACTACATCCATTACACAGCATTTCACTTTTCTTTTTCTCTCATAAAAAAGGGATAAATGAAATGAAATATCAATTTTCACACAATACTCACCATCAAATTTGTTGTAGTAGAAACAGGTCCTGGCATTAACCTTCGCACGACACATGTGAACCTGAATAGGAAATAAATTAAACCATTCAAAATTAATAATACCCCCCTTATGAGTATTTTGACTCTCCCGTAGCCAACATGGTAAGTGGAGGTCCACAACAGATAGTTTAGGATTGCCTATAGCCCCTCTGAAGCCCCTGTAACAAGAATCGTCCCAACTTCTATGGTCAGAAGTACCCTATCTGAATGGCAATAACAGGAATTGCCCCACCCTGCAGCCCTATAACCAGTACTTACCTTATTTGTATTACTTTGTTCCTTTCTGACCTGCTCATGGATACACAACTGTTCTCTGGACCCAATCACGCTCACCTTCATGCTGAAGATAATTAACAAAGCAATAGCATCAATACTGCTCAAAGTCACGCATCACAGCAAACACCCCTCAATTTGAAATAAAAATTCAGCCAGTTCAAATAAATAGTTCAGTCAGGCTGTCAATGCTATCCCGAAGAATGATAAAAGTGTGACCAAAATGTGACCTTCCCCTAAGGCATACAGATGCAAAAGTGGTATATGAAACACTGCCTTTCCATCCTTCATATATCCCTAATATTCCATTGAGATATCTTAAGCAAGTCAGAAGTTATTGCATTTTGACCTTTGACCTTAATGTGACCCTGACCTTGGACATGCAGACCCAACTATAATTGCACAACATCCCCTTGCAAACCTACATTTATCCATAAAATATGTCTCAGACAATGAACTTAACCTTTGACCTCAATGTAACCTTGACCTGAGGTGTAGAGATCCAATAATGGTATTACACAAAAAAAAACATTGAATTGTATTAAGGGAGTTAGAAGTTATGGCCTGGAAAAGGAATTTGACCTCAATGAGATATTGTCCTCGGGTATATCATCCCAATAATATGACACACTGTCTTGCCATCCTACAAATATCTCTTAAATTTCTTTGAGCTATCTTCAGCAAGTCAGAAGTTATGGCCTGGACAATGAAATTGACCTTTGGCCTTAATCTGACCTTGACCTTAGGCGCAAGGGCCCAATAGTAGTATGCAACACACTGCACCATCCTTCATATATCCCTTTCTTTGAGCTATATTCAGCAAGTCAAAAGTTTTGGCCCGTACAAATATGTCCGACGGGTGGACGGGCAAAGCGGCAACTATATGCTTCCCGATTTTTTTTCCGGTAGCATAAAAAAAATAAACAATTCTTCATCACTTTGCAAATTAACATTAAAAAATTTCAAACCCTTAATTACAAAGGGATTTTTTACCTTTTGAAATGACATTCACATGCACATTCACATCAGATTCTGTTTACTACTTCAAGGCTACTTTCTCATTTAACAAATGCTTCCATTTCATTAAACTTAACAGTGTCTCCTTTTTTAAGTGCCTCTTTGGCTATCACAAGTCGGACCCAGGACTACATGTCAAGTGATCCACTGAACCAGCAGTTAGCAAATAGACTGATTACTATGGTGACAATAGTTCCCCCAGATGTGAGGTGGATAAAACAGAGATTTACACCAGGAACACGAGAGAATTGTTACCTGTTGTAAGCAGTCCTCTTGAGCTCATTCACTGCCTGGGATAACTGAGAATGAGTCCTGGACGCATATATTATCTTGGGTACGGCTATATACAAACAGACAAGAAAGACAATCGTCATTTAAACTTATCTTAAGTATAACGAGTTTATGTTCATAAATAAAAAAAGAGTTCATGAAAATATATATAAAAGTATCCTGATTTAATGAATTCTTTTTTGTTTATATTACACAGAATGTACATTTTATAACTACAAATTAAAGTATTTTGATATTGTCAAAGAACTGCAGTGATATGTCAAAACTTTATCATGATATTTTCATGTTATAACAAGTGTTCAAAGGATATTTGATAAATATAATCCACTATTCCTTGCAACCAACAAATGATCATTTTATTCAAAATGGTGTGTTTTTGCTGTGATAATGGAAAGAAATGACTAACCAAATTCTGCGCCTCCCCATGTCTGTCCTGTCGAAGCCTCCAGGCTCTTCACCAGGCTATTGACATTCTCCGGCCTCACAGAGCCCTGCTCCACGAAGGACGAGATGTGTATCTGTCTGTTTAGCTCTGTCTGGGCCTTGCGTCCTTGGAGCCAGCCAAGACAGGAACACAATAAGCACAGAGTCTTTCCTGTTCCAGTCGGACTTTCCAACACAGCATTCTGACCCTGTACATAAAACAACACTCTCTTATCTCCAGACAACCACATGTCTTCACTCTCTGTGGACGTTTATACATTCAATGTTAACATGTTTATATAATTAATCCCATATTCATGCAGACAACTGTTTCCAGATATCATTGTTTAGAGTGCTCCTATCTACTTACAACAGCACAGTACTTGCTTAAGTCTCAATAAGATGGACCTTTCATGACGACTCCTGATCACTTACCCTTATTCATTGACTTGAAATCAGCAAACTTTTATACAGGTTGCATTTTGCTTCAATTCAACTTTTCATTTTTGCATAACAAATCTTAAAACATGACATTTGCTCTACAATTTTGATAAATGAGGTCATTGCGAGTACTTTTTAAGATTTTTATTCGAAGAATTCTGTTTGTTATTATTATTGTTATAATCATGACTTAGCAAGAGTACAGCAGGGTGGAACAATATACGCCCATCGAATGCCATATAGTGTTATATACTATCTTGCATTAAAATAAGATTTGCATCACCTTAAGAGTGGCTAGCTAGCATGCTATAAATCTCACCTTTCAATACAAAATCAATGTTCAATTTTCTTTAATTTTTTAACAGTTTGATGAAAACAAGTAATCAAAAGATTAGTCTCCAACTCATTAAACACAACAACATATCATGATTATAAAGCCTACCAAGTTTCAAAGAAATCAATCAAAAAATGTAGGAGGAGATTGCCGGACAAAAATAAAATACTGAAATAAACAAAGGTCAATAACTTTAGCAAAAATTGTTGAATCAAAAATCTTTTCAGGGAAACACAACAATATATCATGATAATAAAGCCTATTATGTTTCAAAGAAATCAAATAAAAATTGTAGGAGAAGATCTCCGAACAAAATAATAAAATACTGAAATAAACAAAGGACAATTACTTTTGCAAAAATAGTCAAATCAAAATTCTATTAAGGGAAACATAACGTCATATCATGATAATAATGTATACCAAGTTTCAAACAGATCGGTCAGAAAATGTAGGAGGAGATTGCCGGACAAAAATCAAATACTGAAATAAACAAAGGGCAATAACTTTTGCAAACATTGTTGAATCAAAATTCTTTTTAGGGAAACGCAACTTCATATCATGATAATAATGTATACCAAGTTTCAAAGAGATCCGTTGAAAAATGTAGGAGGAGATTGCCGGACAAATAAAAGTTTACGCCAGACGGACGGACGACACAATACCATAATACTCACGTCAAATTTGACTGGCATATAAAAAGGGTTAGGTGTAAATGAAAATTGTCAGGTCGACATTTTTTCAACCCAATGGAAAATATATCCAATTTAACATTTGCATGATTCTTATCACACACACCAAATCTCAAAAGATTTTGGCAAAACCTGTGGTACTAGTTAAAACGTTGCAGTCAGAAGTTTCAAACATACTGTTTGATTAAAAGGCCAATAGCTTCCATAAATGAATTTTTGTTTGCGGCATTCTAATTCTAGTATTCTAGATGAGGCACCCTTAAGTATGAGAGTGTCTTATTACCAACAAAAAAAGTTCTGAATAATTAAATTAGGATTTTCTTTATCTACTTCAGCTAGAACAAATCAAGAAAGTTTACAGTTGATTTAAATAAGATGTACAACGTTTGGAAGACTATTACAAAATTCTTACAAAGTTGATTAATAGGTACAGTGTACACCCAACAAGAGAAAATATGTTGTTACCGTTTGGAGACTCTCCAGAACCTTATCCATGTAGGCCTCCTGACAAGCATATGGTTCAAATGGGAAGTTGATGTGAACACCCCTCAAACTAATCATAGGCATGATGATTCCTTTCTGAAGTTTACTCAGTGTACAAACTTCATATCATAACCGTCTGAAAAGAGAATCATACTTCAGTCATAATGTGTAGCAGGACTGTACTGGGTTGTTCGTCAGCGACCAGGTAACTCAATTAGTAGAGCGTCCGTCTAGACTTTGTAGGGTCCCAGGTTCAAATCCCGGTCTGTTCGATCATTGCATTACTATTTCTCCTGTTACAATTACGTCAGTCAAGCTGTTTGGGGGAAAAAAAGAGTCATGTAAGATTACTTTTCTTTCTTTCGTGTTACACTTACCAGTATTTCTAAATTTCAGGTTATCGTAAATTAATAATAAATATGTATGTAAAATTCTTGGTCAAAGTCTGGTCTGTGAAAATTTCAGTATCACTGTGCACACATATATATTACAAGTTTGCTGATGTCATTGGTTTGGGTAGTGAAAGCACGGAATTAGACGCTACTGTGTATCTAAATCTGTGGTGAAAGTAAACAATTAGTTTTACATCTGCAAGGATGCTGAATGAAATGAAGCAGCTACAGCAAATAAATTCACAATATTTTACTCAAATACCTGTATACATACAAATAAGTTACATTTGTAGATTTTACAATCCAGACCAAGATACATTACGACAGGATGGACACAGAATATAATGGCTACACAATAGTGACTGTTGCACGACTTTTTTGCAAAAAAAATCCATTTTAATAAGCTTTCGAGCTTTCATGGGCTATCCTCAGGTAATTATAGAACAATGTTTGTGTTGTATTAATTGTATAAATATATTACCTATATCTTAAAATCAGTTATGAATTTTAGTTTCATATATAATGTAATATTTTAAGATAATACAATGTTTTATTACTAACGATAACTTAATTCATGTCGGTTCATTAGTATTTGAGCGTCCGGAGAGCTTGTAGGAAGGGGATGCCCAATCACCTGCTCCTTGGACTGCTCCAAAAACCTGTGATATTCTGTTTAATATTTTTAGTAATAAATATGTATGTTGTACTGTAATATGTATGCCAACTGTCATGTTACATGTGATGTCTATATATGATCTAATTCCTGAAATAAACATTATTATTATTTTTAATTATTTATCTAATTATTGTTTTATGTAGTTCTAATCAAATACAGTGTCAGCAGGACATCCAAAACAAAGGGTGCACATTTAGATAATTATTATTAAGCCATATGCCAAAGATTATTAAAGATTCAGAATTGATAAATGTATACTAACAATTCATATCTGAAGGAATCTATTCAAGTTCCATTAAACCATTTCCTGAGTATGAGTAGTTTGTACACATTTCACAAAATGTTAATAATATATACCTTAAAGTCATATGCTTTCAACTTAAAATTTAATAGTGTTCCCAGTAGAATTTTGATTTCTGGTAGTAAATGTACCTGGTGATTTTTCGCAGACCCTGATAATGGGTCGTGTTTTTATAAAGAAGGTTGGCGTTAGTTTATCGATAAGATATCAATACAGATACACAGATTTTATTCTGACTATAGAAATGTTTACATTTCCTCTGCTGTCAGCTCTATTTTATAAATAAAAGTTGACCGATATTAAAAATAATAACATGATTTATAATTATTTGTGCAAGTCCATTGGATAGTGTCACAGCTCTGTAATCATAAGTTCATAAATCAACAATTATCTGTTTTTATTATTATATTTCAGGTAACCCATATAAGCTAACAAGTTAAAAAAGTAGTTCAAATTTAAAGTTGGTATAGGCCTGACTATGTTCTTATATTTATGTTATATGAGATATAACCGTCTAGATGGGAAAACCAATCTACTATAAGGAGATTTTTTTCATCTAGACATTCATTTTTTATTGATATAGGCTAACGTCAATCTCCTGTGGTTTAGGGCACTTCAGGTTGTTTTTGGATAAATCGTCACCCCTCATCCCCCATGTATATTGTCAACAATGCATCCGAATAGTGTCACTTTGTCCATGGCACGCTTCAATATTCCAACCTATTTGTAAATAAACTCGAACACTCACCATTCAAAAGACATTGAAATTCAAATTTCAAGTAAAAAAACTCATTAGTTCTTTCTTTTGACAGACATGTGCGAAATTCACATCCATGTTGTCATTATTTTTACCGCTATATGACGTCACATGTCAGTCACGGGCAAAAAGAATTGGTATTATCCTGATATGAAAGATGAATATTTATATTATATACCGCCTTTTCAATTGCTTGAATATATCTTTTTGGTAAGTATTTTATTTCTTCAATATTTTACTATTGTAAAATTTATATTTTTTAAGTAGCCAATGGCATTCAAGCTTTGAATAAACTCGGATCGCTCGAGAAGCGCGCGTTGTAAACGACCAAAGAAGAAAAGCCGCATCGAGGACCGTCGGCAGGTAACGTTAGACAGGCAGTTTTACCGAATGTTATCTACTTGATTTAATGTTTACACTTATTGTATTCAGTGTCAGCATTTGCTATCTTAAAAGGCATATAACCAAATATATTTCATTTCATTTGCAATTATTCTTTTCAGAAATAACAATGTAATTCTTGCACGAATATTGACGAAATCATGATGATGGATAAATTATGATAAAGTCCGTTACTTTAATATTGCCAGACAGTGCATGCATACTGCAGATATTTCGTGCCGTCTACAAGGTGATCTAATACCAGATTTTGGATATTTACAGATTGCTTGGAAAACATTTCTTCATTGAAAGAAAGGTTTGTATGATTTTTTAATTAGCTACTTCGGTGTCTACGTTGTTCTAATGCGGTCAGTAAGCTATTTCACATGCTTTTTTTCCCCAAAATCAAAGTTGATGGTTAATTATATTCCGTTTGCTTTAGAAACAGCTTGAAACGTTTTTTAGTTCCTGTTCATAATTAGACAATTAACCATAGCTTGAAAGTTGAGCTGCGTTTTTACATGCATATTGATTATGCAAATTGTATGATTTGATGACTAATTTACTACTGAATAGTAGACTGAAAAAGAAACAAAAAAAGCTTCATATCCATGGTATTAAATGAATGTGATGAACTGTTAGAATGTTTTGATTTCAGTAAATTGTTATTTATAATTGATATTTGCTTTTCAAGAATCTCGGTATATATATGAGTCATTATCAGAAAATGTCAATTTTCTGAATTGAAAAAAATGCAAAAACAACATCAATAAACAATCAGTTTAATATAACCAAACTGAAGTACATATATCAGTATTTCATTATTTCAATACCGGAAATCTGAAATATTACCTGTTTGGTTACCATAGCAACGGAAATTTGGTAATTAAGGTAAAAATGTCCATTATGTTACCAATTTTAAAATTGATTTTTGATAGGTAAAAAACAGGAACTTTTACTTAGATTTTGTTTAATTTAGAACAGCAGTACAATTTCATAAGTAGGACATGGACAATAGTTTCCTCAGTTTTTTCGTTAGGGCAAAAATCAAACTATATCAATGGCTTAGGTAATTGCATAGTGACGGGGTCTGTTCCGAATAGAATTTGTAACGTAAATGCATATGCTTGTTTANGATCTATTATAATATTGAGATTCATTGTATTCTGTTCAGCACTACGATGGTCTGCAATATTAATGTATTATACGACAGGGCCTACTGTTAGTATGCCCACCCTAATGGCGTAATGCAACAAGTCTTATTAAAGTGGTTGTACTAAAATGGTTTTATCTTCCCGAAAAATTTCCCTTTTTTATCTTTTGTTACGTGGCATCATACGTGCACAGGGACCAATCTTATTTTAGGGAAAAGACTTTTTTGTGATATATACAGAAGCAGTCATGATTTCTGCAACCACAACTTTTTCGAGTCATCCTTCCTGTTTCAGGAAGAAATGTGTCCCATGGCAAAACTGGTAACTGGCGAAAGTCAGTCGCCAATCCAGCTATAGGCCTTAGTAACCAGGTCCAATACTGCAATCTGTCAATTGAGATACATTATGTCTACTGGCCGGAAATCTTGCATTGAAAAGGGAAAACAATTCTCACAAATTATATGTACAACTATACTATTAAAAATCTTTTTAAAACCTATATAAGATCAAAGAAAACTACATACAGTATTACAGTATACAAAACTGTAGGTTTCTATTAATCGCCCATCTATCCACTTTAGTTATTTTCCACCATTTATGAATTTTTAAGGTATCCCCAATAATCAGGCATGGGGTAATGGTAATTAATTGCAATTAATTAGGGCCCCGTATCAGAGATACGGGTGCCCTATAGTAATCACTCTGTCTGTCCGTCCACAAATTTTGTTCCTGGCTGATAACTTTGGTATTTATTGACCGATGTACATGAAACTTGGTCAATATGTTCAGTTCACAAAAATACACATTGAAGTAAAAAGTCAAGGTCATTAGGTTCAAAGGTCAACGGTCAAATTTTACATCTTTTCACTGATGAACATTTTGTTATGACATTATGAAGCAAAGTTGATCAGAATAAAACAAGGAGTCAACTGACCAAAGTCAAGGTCATTGGGTCAGGGGTCAAGGTCAAATTTTGTAGCTTTTCACTGGTGAACATTTCGCTATGACATGAAGCAAAGTTGTTTGGAATTGAACAAAGAGACACGCTGAGGTAAAAAGTCGAGGTCAAGGTCATTATAATCAAAGGTCATGGTCAAATTTTGCATCTTTTCACTGATGAACATTTTGTTATGACATGATGAAGCAAAGTTAATCAGAATTAAACAAGGAGTCAACTGACCAAAAGTCAAGGTCATTTGGTCAAAGGTCAAGGTTATTTTTTTTATCTTTTCACTGGTGAACATTTTGCTATGACACTTTGAAGCCATGTTGCTCAGAATTAAACAAGAAGTCAATTGACCAAAGGTCAAGGTCACTTGGTCAAAGGTTAAATTTTGTATCTTTTCCCTGATGAAAATTTTGTTATGACATTTTGAAGCAATGTTGTTCAGAACTTAACACAGAGTCAACTGACCTTAGGTACAGGTTACGGGGTCCAAAGGGTCAAGGTCAAGTTTTGTATTTTTCACTGATGAACATTTTGTTATGATATTAAGAAGCAAAGTTAGTCGGAATTAAAGAATAAGTCAACTGACCAAAGATCAGGGTCACTGGGTTAATGGTTAAGGTCATTTGGGTCCTGTGGATCTCTGACTTTGACCCTGGCTCTTGAGCGAGGAGGTATATAAGGTGAAATAAAACATATCAAAGCTGACAAATGAGTATTGCACCGGTATTAACATTTCTGTTAGCCCAGCAAATATGGAGGTGGAAGGAAACAAGACTCACATCATAGTACATGTAAAATGATTCCTTGCGATTATTTTTGAAGTCCAAATGTCAAACGTCAAGCTCAGCTATATGGGCAGATTGCTTCTTGATGATTATGGGGGATATATTGCCACAAGACGGGGCCCTTACTGACCTGACTAGTAATTGGATGTAATGTGCAATTGAGGATTTTTTACAATTACATGTAGTGGTAATTTAATTAATTACATTGAAAAATGGATATAATGCCCAATTACTTCTAATTACTTTAATGTTGAGTGTTGATGTTTCATGCATCCTTTAAACAATTAAATCTTCATTATGTAATTACAAGGGTACAGGTAATAAGTAGAGGTTATACCTGTTTGATCCTAATCCCCTTTTTCTAGCTTAGCTATTGTCCTTCCCAGAGACCAGGTAACTTGTGATTTTAATAACAAAGGATTGCCACACAGTGAGTACATGTATCATAACAGGGTAGACCATTCAGAGCATTCTTTCTTTGTAAGGGTGAACTTATAGTGAACAGTACTAACAGTAACACTGAATTACATGTGCACCTTCACATGAAAACTAGAACAACAACATTCCTGATAGTGGCTATTAGCCACACAAGTGAAATATATTTGTTATTACTGAAGACACCATTATATTTTCTATTTAATTCATTTTTAAAGCATAAAAAATGTTATGCATTAAAAAAGGACGTGAATCAGGAGCGTTATAATAAGCACCATATATATCCTAATGACGTCGCACTTGACAACAAAGTTGTGCACCATTTTGAATGGGAAACGCAACACAATTCAAACGTTTTCTGCTATTTTCTGGTATGATTGCTTATAAAAAGGTAATAATTGTATATTTATGTAAATGTGTGTGTACCAAACATTTACCATAACAACCACTTATTCTACCGTCGCTTCATTTGAATCTGAACAAAAAATTGTTGCCTTTGAATGCAGCGAATAGAAGATACCGTTATGATTGGTCAATATCAAAAAGTGATATTTTCAAAATGAAAATATCACTTGATATTTGTCACAGTGTGAAAGATATCAGTTTTATCAAGTTGATAGAATCTGATATTTCACTGGCAAAAAATGTAATAAATGTATGTCTAGTATTTCATGGGAATTTAGTCAGAGACAGCCGAGTATACATGCATGATTCATACTGTCGCCAGCAGTTACTACATTTTAAGGATTGACTTTGTAATGTTTTGATTTGCATGAAACTTTTTACACATGCTTATGAATCGATATTGCTCATTCCAGTTTTGATTTTTGCCCTAGTCTGAAAATCAACAATGCCACCAATGGCCATTTTTGGTTTCATTATAATTATAAGTCTGCACCCATTTTGTCCCTGCTGTCACTCATGAAGGAATGCTTCAATTTTCATAAAACAACAGTATTTTTTTACAGTAAAAAAGTACAGTTATTTTCCCAATTCATAAAGGAACAGCTGGGTGTTGTTAAATTGAGGTAGCAAAAACACTGATGGTAAAAAACAAAATGAAACAAAATCGTGTAAATAAAAATGAAGTAAACAAGACACCTGTTCTGTATGTTATCGTCACATTTAAAAACCAAGGAAACGCAATGAAAATAAACAAAAAAATATAACAAAATTCAGGGAATAAACGCCTTGACCGTGTTTGTATTAGTTCATACTATAAAATGTAAACAAACCGACTACATGTTGATTATGATTCTAGTTTTAATGGTTGTCAGCCAATATCGGCAGTGTACCTCTTATGATTAATTCTGGAAACAATTTAGATACTTTTTTTTTAACTCATGGTTAGATAGATCCTTATAGTCGAGGTTTATTTCAGC